TCGGACGCTTAACCGACTGCGCCACCCAGGCGCCCCATAATGACCCCTTCTTAACTTGACCACACCTGTGTGGACCCCATCTCCAAATACAGTAACGTTCTACGGTGCTGGGGGTTAGGATTTCAACCTGTGCCTCTGGGAAGGGAGGTAATTCAGCCCATAACATAGATGCTGGTGCTTAAAAAACAGAAAGAAGACACAGTCCCAGGACGTGAGGTGTCCCAAAGCCTGGTAGATGTGAACACAGCCCAGCCCACAGCAGAGCCCAAACCCGGGACGAGCCGTGGCTGTGGCCCGGAGCAGGGCCTCCCAGAGCCGCTGCGGAGAACCCAGGCCCAGCTCAGACAAATCGTTCCTGTGCGTTTCTGTGTGTTTTGGGTGGGGCAGAGGTTGGCCACAAGTGCTGCAGGTGACAGCTAAGTCACCCATGCGATGGGTTCCTGTCATTGCCATGCTGCCCTGTCCACGGGGAAGCCTTTCCGGGAGCAGAGCTGGGCTGCCCTTCTGTGCGGCGCGGGGAGGCTTCCACAGCGCCAGAGAGCAAAAATTACGGCACGGCACAGAGCAGGTTGTCGAAAGTATGAGCTCGTGGCCAGATCCCTTCCCTCCCACCCCCTCCTGCCCTCCAAGAAGTCACCCCCTGTCTGTCCTGCTGGCTTCACTCAGCGAATACTGTTCTTATAAACAGCTGGCCCAGATTCCCAGCTTGAGTTAGGACGCTCCCCAGGCAGTCAAGGGTGTTCGGTGATGAATTTCAACTCGGCTTAAAAGCATGAAAACTTGCAAGCAACCTTGGGCTGCTCCCTCCAGTGGGGACAACGCTGCCCTGCCGGCACCCGCCGGAGGCCCTGGCCCCACGCGAGACCCCATCAGCCTTCAGGTGCCTGTGGCACTTCCCCCAGACTCGATGCTGACTCACGGAGCCACTGCAGAAACGTCTCTGCTTTAAACTTTAATTGACCTACATTCTTTCCTAGATCTCATGACCTGATTTTCCATTTTCTCTCTGCTGGGACCCACACGGCGGCAAAAGAACCACCTTCTCTTTAGCCCCAACACCCGTCAAACAGGGGCTTGACCTCCAAAGCAGAGGACACAGGCACAGAAGCAGGCGGGGGCTTGTGACAAACGCGTCGGTCAGGGGCACCGTTCCCCTTCATCTTTGCATCTGTAATCACGGAGGTGGGGCGAGGGGACAGGTCCAGGCCGGTCATGCCCAGAAGAATGTGGTGGCCGTAAGGACGCAGACCCTGAGATCCAGGGAAGGTGACTGGTCCAGAGCACAGCTGCCGAGCTCTGAGATCCAAGCTTCCCATGGCTGCCACCAGCCGTGACCGAGCGCAGCAAGGATGTGCGGGCAGGCCCGCTCCTAGGACACAAGGCCTCCTCTGATGGCCGCGCCAGACCTTGCTGAGGCAGCAGGCCCTGCAAGTCACCAGCCTTCCCTCCTTACCCCGGAGTCCAATGTGCATGGCTGTCCCCGCTCTTCCTGCCCTCGGCACCTGCACCCCTATTTCCTCCCCCACGGACATCTCCCTCGTGCAAACCTTTAGTCCCCGCTGCTTCTCAGAGGAGCCCCAACATCACCCCTCCATAGTGACATGGGAAACAAAGGCCAGAAGGAAACGGCAGATAAAATTAAATTTCCTCATAACCTGCAGCCCATTGACAGATACTTCAGACCAAGACAGAGTAGAACGTTTCTCCAGGCACCTGCGAACATCCTGATGCTAACGCCTTACTAGAGGGAAAACCACCTGGGCTGGACAACAGCAAGGCCTCAGGCATCTTAGGAGTCTCAGCACATCACAGATCCTGTCCCCACGTTTTAATAAAATCACCTTTTTTGCACCAAAGATGTCTTCAAGAATTCTCTCTACGTCATCAGCTCCGGACCCCCCACCATCACCCCAAAACCTCATCAACACTCATCACTCAACAAAGCGCCAACGTGGGCAGGAAACGGAGCTGGGTGCCGCAGCGTTTGGTCACAAAGAGCCAACAGTCTGGCTGCAGGGCACGCAAGCAGGGCAGAGCAACCTGTTAAAGATGCAGAAGGTCCTTCCTTTCCTTTGTTACCCTGTTTGCCCTTGGGAGGGCAAAGCACGACAAATAGGCTTTTTTGTTTTCAAAGGTAGGCGTCTCTCGAAGCAGTAAATTCTAGTGTTCCGGCTGGGAGGGTAATCAGCAATTGTGTTTCCCAAAGGAACAGCAGGAAACCACCAGGCAGGTGTGGGGCTCCCCAAAGACAGGCCATAAACAGGCACAAAAAGAAGGCTCATTGGAGGGGAGGGGAGGGGGTGTAGGCATTTTCCAGGAGGGACATGGCCAGAGCAGGAAGGGACAGCAGGTCAGAGAGAAAGCATACGTCATCAGAAGAATGCACGGCATCCAGGCCGGACCAGGGGGCAGCAGAGATCCTGTATTCGGGAGGGCGGCAGCCCCATCCAAGGCAACCAAGCTCAACCAGCCAAAATGATGTCACCTGGTCACTTTGTGTTCCATGGGTTTAAAAGAAAAAGTGGCTGGGGCACCTGGATGGCTCAGTTGGTTGAGTGTCCGACTTCAACTTAGGTCTGTCTCATGGTTTGTGAGTTCAAGCCCTGGATCTGGCTCTCTCTCAAAATAAATAAACTTAAAAAAACAAACAAACAGAGAGAGAGAGAAAGTGGCCAAGGGCAGAGCCTGACTCCTGAAGACATCCTGACGCCGTGCTGGGACCACCTTGGGCAATTTCCACTGGGCAAGAGAGAGAAAGAGCCAAGTATCCCTTAGCAGGAGGCCCAGGGCCTCCCGCCATATTCCTGACTCTCCATTCAATCTCGGATTTCCTTACAACCCCACAAAGCCCTTGGGTTCTCTCCAAACTGACACGCAACGTGTCCCTTCAACACCCAAGCAGAGTCTCGTGACCACTCGTCACCCCAGGCCAATTAGGGAAGCGCTCTCCGTGACAGCCAGTACGTGCACACATGCAGCTCACAGAACAGGACTGTGGTCACTCTGCTCCTTCTGCTGCGTCTCACTTTTTAAAAATGCTCTTCTGTGTAGGATGTGCCCCAAGAGTGAACTTCAAAGCGAACTACGGCCTACGTGGGTAATGACCACACGTCGATATGGGCTCATCAATTAATTGTAACAAATGTCCCACCTGGTGGGATGTCCCACTGGGAGAGGCGTGCCTGTGTGTGGACAGCGGGCATGATGGAAATCTCTAATTTCTGCTCAGTTTCACTGTGAGTCTAAAGCTGCTCCCGAAAGGTAAAACGTGGGGCGCCTGGAGCTCTGGCCGTGTTTAGGATCCACTTCCATTGGTCCTTACAGTCGTTTGTCAGACCCCAGCTGCCAAAATAGTGAAGCAGATCAAGAGCAAATATGCTTTTCAGGAAGCCTTGAACAGTGAGGGGAACACTTTAGTAGTTGACTTCTCTGCCACAGGGTGTGGGCCTTGCACAATGGTCAAGTCCATCTCTCATGCCCTCTCTGAGAAGGATCCCAACGTGGTGTGCCTTGAAGTAGACGTGGGTGACTGTCAGAGGTTGTTTCAGAGTGTGAAGCCAACCCTCCCGTTTTTAAAAAAGGAACAGAAGGTGGGTGAATTTTCTGGAACTGATAAGGAAAATCTTGAAGCTACCATTAATGAATTCATCTAATTATGTTTTCTGAAAACATAACCAGTCATTGGATGTTGACAACTTGTGATATTTTTTTATTTACAAAAAGGAAAGATCAAGTATGAAGACTATATACCCAACTGCCATCTGATTATAAGTGACAATAAAATATTGATTCTAAAAAAAAAAAAAAAGTGGGGCACCTGGCTGGCTCAGTCTGCTAAGCATCCAACCCTTGATTTCTGCTCAGGTCATGATCCCACGGTTCGTGGATCGAGCCCCGCGTCAGGCTCTGCGCTGACAGCACTGAGCCTGCTTGGGATTCTCTCTCTCCCTCTCTCTCTCTGTGCCCCTCCCTCATGTGTGTGCTCTCTCGCTCTCTAAATAAACATTTTTTAATCTTAAAAAAAGAGAGACATAAAAAGTAAAATTTAAGCAAATGCTCTCTGGCTGCTGCCTGGAGGGTGGACAGCACTTCCCAGAACTTGATCTCAATAGTCCTTTTGGCCCACATTTTTCCCCATCCCACTTTTTTTTTTTTAATTTTTTTTTCCACGTTTTTATTTATTTTTGGGACAGAGAGAGACAGAGCATGAACGGGGGAGGGGCAGAGAGAGAGGGAGACACAGAATCAGAAACAGGCTCCAGGCTCTGAGCCATCAGCCCAGAGCCTGACGCGGGGCTCGAACTCACGGACCGCGAGATCGTGACCTGGCTGAAGTCGGACGCTTAACAGACTGCGCCACCCAGGCACCCCTCCCCATCCCACTTTATATTATACCAAGTAATTTAGGTAAAACGTGTGCCCCTCCCCAGGGTGACAAACTGTTCTAGTTTGCCTGCGACTGAGAAGTTTCCCAGGATAAGGAATTTTCACTACTAAAACCAGGGAGGTTCTGAGCAAACTGGGCCGAGGGGGTCACCCGAACTCCCCCTCAGAGCCAGCGCTTGTTAGTAACACGGCCTCTGACCTCCTACCCGTGAGAACTTTGCTCAGAACCTGCTGCCTGGCAGATGCTGGACAAATAGACTATGGTGTCCTTATCATCACTTTCAGTGATGACTCCTGCAGGGCCAGTGGGGGTGTCTCCACGTATGCTTACTGGGCTGGACTGGTATGGTTGTGAATTCCATTTCTAGATGTATGGGGGTCTTCTCTGCCATTCATCAGGGCTCACCCCTTCCACAAGGACATGGCTTCCCAATGTTCTGGGCTAAGGGCCACAAGACACTCCTGCACGTGGCCAGATGCAGGGCAGCTAAACATTGCCTATCCCCTCTCCAAAGGGAAGAGTCTGCTGACCGCACACGTGGCTAACCCGGCAAGGTCAGGCAACACTTTTTTTATTTATTTTTATTTTTTTAATGTTTATTTATTTTTGAGAGAGAGAGAGAATGAGAGGGGGAGAGGCAGAGAGAGAGAGAGAGAGAGAGGGAGACACAGAATCCGAAGCAGGCTCCAGGCTCTGAGCTGTCAACACAGAGCCCGACGCAGAGCTTGAACCCACGAACTGTGAGATCATGACCTGAGCCGAAGTCGGACACTTAACCAACTGAGCCATTCAGGTGCCCCATACACTCAACTTCTGAACACGTGTCCCGGAGAACCTCATTTTGATAGCACTGCACTGTGATCTCCCTCAAATAAGATGGACCGCTACCTCATATGTCTTCAATGGCCAGGAAGGGGCTGTATGTTCCTCAAAGAGGAAGATGTCATTACTTGGGGGAGCTTCCAGAGCACATGATGACCTAAAGCCATTTCATCCCCCTCCTCCCAAAACAATGATGATCAAAGCATAACACATCTACAGGGGCCGTATTCATCCTAGGTCTGCGAGTTCATGGCACTGGTGTAGAGCTCTCCTAACGTAATCCAAATTCTCACAACGGATGTTAACAAGAGAGCCAAAGAAAAATCTACCTTCTCAAAACTTGTTATATATCTTAGAAGGTCAGCAGTATCAGATATATGAAAACGTCCACTGATAACTTCCTTTGGCATTTTTATCCAAAGGCCCACACGCAAATAACTGCAATTTTGAAAAGGCTGGGAGACACGTAGTATGCATATCAAAATTTCTGCTGGCCATTAAGTGGTGGAGTTTGTTGGAAAGTGGCAGCTATCACTCAAACAGAAAAATACTAGGCACTGAACTTCATTTGTGCAGTAAGATGAAATTAAATCAATTTATCTATGTTTAAGGAAAAGATTCAAATTCAAACTTGGAATGATATACTATCTGGGGGGAAAAATGGGGTGCCTGGGTGGCTCAGTCAGTTAGGCATCTGACTCTTGATTTCAGCTCAGGTCATGATTTCACTGTTCATGTGTTCGAGCCCCCATTGGGCTCTGTGCTGACAGTGCAGAGCCTGCTTGGGATTCTCTCTCTTTCTCTTTCTCTGTTCTTCTCTGACTCACATGCACATCCTCTCTCTCTCTCTCTCCCTCAAAAATAAAAATTTGAAATAAATAAATGAGAAAAAAAAATTTCTAGCCAGCATTGAGGAAGAAGAGAGCCCTAAAATTGTTGTCTAAGATGTAGCTAATTCTAGGCCAGTTCTTTCTAAAGCAATGCATAACTTCATCATGGTTTCTTCTTTGGAAAAGCAGGGATGAGGACAAAAAGTCCTCCAGTGTCCCTCCCAGATCCAAGAGTCTCTCACTCTGAAGCAGAAATTGCAAACTGGTGGCCCACAGGCCAGACACAATCCCTTTGAGTTTTGTTTGGTCTGCATGGAGTTTGGTTTTGTTTTGTTTCCTTAGTTGAATGTGGATGCCTTTATATTTCTATTCCTGGAGTCCCTGTGGTTCCTCAGTGCCTCTCACAGCCCTGCAGCCCTGCTGTGATCACCTGAGTGGGGAGGGGGGTGGCTGGAGGGCCCTGGGAGGATGTGGGTGTAGGATTCTTGCCCTGGGAGGATTTGGGTTGACAACTCTTGCCCTGGGAGGCTGAGGAGTTGACGGTGTTGCACTTGATTCTGTTACCACTTGAATCTTACTGAGGGGTGACTTCCATCTACTTTGGTTTCTACTGTTCCGCAGAGTAAATTTCTTGTCTTTAACCCACCCCCCCACCTGTTTTACAGGAGAATAGCAGTTCAAAATGCTAAGACGGGCTCAGTGTCACAGAGTTAGCTAAAATTTATATCTTCTGGGGGAACTTTTTAAATTGAAAAATAAAGAAAAGCACAAAACAGAAAAGAAACTTCATATAAATATGCATGATTGTCAGTATTTATGATACGGACCATATTTAATCGCAGGCATGTGAGGTTTCTATCAATTGTATCACTTGTATCCATTTACATAGAGTTGCTTAGGTTATTATAGGATTTTTTTTTGTTTTGTAAAATATACACAACATAAAATTTACCGTTTTAGCCATTTTTATGTATACGGTTCAGTGGCACTGAGTATAGTCACATTGTTAGAAAACCACCATCCATCTCCAGAATGTTTCCACCTTCCCGACCTGAAACTCTTTCCCTGTGAAACGCTAACTCCCTATTACCCCCTCCCCCAGCCCCTGGCATCCACCCTGTTACTTTCTGCTTCCATGAATCTGCCTACCCTAGGAACCTCATCTAAGTGGACTTATACAGCATTTGTCCTTTTGTGACTGGCTTCTTTCACTTAGCGCAATGGGTGAACCTTGCAGACATTATGCCAAGTGAGAGAAGCCAGTCATGGCTTTAAACGCTGACTGTGGTTTTAAGGCAGCAGAGGTGTGTGTTAAAAATAGCCGTGAACTTTGTAAATATCTAACCGAGAATGACCTAGCCCGAAAGACTTCTTTCTGCATGAAATACCCAAACATGTGAGCAGCCTTTATGAGCGCAACTAAAAAGGGAACTCTGAGCACAGGCTCCTGGCACATAAACCTCAGAATAGCTAAGCTTTACTTACCAAGTATAACAGTACAAAATGTCACGCTGGGAATGTTGAACGTGGGGGTTGATAGCCCAAGAAAAAAATTGCTCACCTAATTTAAGGAAACTCAAAACGAATCCTTTCTTGCCTTCAGAACTCTAGATTGCAAAAGTCCCATCTGGTACTAACTATATTTACTCAGATGGATCAGTACCACAAAATAAACGTTATGTAGAGCATATTGTTATGGGTTCTGGACGGCTCTTCCATCTGCCAGTAGATGTAGGAAACTGACCCTAAATATGGGACTAAATCTTGTGCAAGTGGGAGTTTAGGGATCAAGAAAGTAATCAGACCTTTTCTACATCATGCCCAAAGCCCCCTGCAATCGCCCTGGGAAGTCACAGAGCAGCACACGCCCCAGGGGGATGATAAAGGAGGTAAGCACTGGGTTTTGTGATGGCAGCTGAGACAAAGGTTAGCCTCACCTGTCCCTATCACAAGGGCCAAACAGCCTGCTGGCACTTGCTGTCGTTCACACACACACACACACACACACACACACACACACACACACACACCCAGCTCTGCTCCCCAGGGACTTTGGCAAAGCTGTATGACCTCTCTGCACCTCAGTTACCTCATCTGCAAAGTCCACTGGCCAACAGAATCTCCCTGGGAGGGCTGTGTTAGGGATTAAGTGGTCGGTGTGCATGAAGCACTGAGGCCACGGGACTCTCTCGCTGTTCGTGCTCCAGGAAGGCAGACGGCCACCGGGTCCTTGCTGACACTTCGGGAGTCTTGTCTCCCAAACATGAGTGACGAGCCAGGGCCAGGTTTTACATTTGGAGTTGTTTGGGGTCCTTCTTTAAAAGTCAGCCGCAAGTTCAACTCTATCTCCCCAAAGGATACATGGAAGTCCGGATCCTGAATGAGGTGAATGAGTCCTTATCTGGAAACAGGGTCTCTGCGAATGAAATCAAGTTAAGAGGAGGTCATACTGGGCCAGGGTGTAGGGCGGGCCCTACATCCAACATGTCTGGCATCCTTCTGAGAAGACACACAGAGACAGGCACACGCAGAGAGACCGCCCTGCGACAACGCAGAGGGAAGAGGGTCACCTTCCAGAGACAGCGCTTGCGTCCAACCAACAGCAAGTGGAAGA